CAGCCTGTGCCTGCCCGCGGTGGGTGCCTGAGCCGCCTTCCTCTGGGCTAGCGGGTAGTGAGCCTTTCGGAGACGGGACACAGTCATTTTGGTGTTCGTGGTATTGTCTGGTACAGGAATACAAATGCAGGCCTTATTGTACACACACACACACGTTTCTATACATGGAAACTGTGCGTGTATGTCATATACTAGATATGTGTGTATTTATATTGGTATTTTTTTTTCCTGTAGATTAATTTATCACAGACCTGCATGTTATATATATATAACATATATATATATGTTATATATATATGCATGTTATATATGTTGTGATCTTCATAGTTATTCATAAGCTCTATTTCATAACAGCATCCCTGTGTTTTTTTTTCATAGAATCATAGAACTATTCAGGTTGGAAAAGACCCTTAGGATCACCCAGTCCAACCATCATCCCTGCTCTACAAAGTTCTCCCCTAAACCACATCCACCAACACCACATCCAGGGATGGTGACTCAACCACCTCCCTGGGCAGCCTATTCCAGTGTCTAATCAGTGTCTAAAATTGTTCCTAATGTCCAGCCTAACCCTCCCCTGTTGCAGCTTGAAGCCCTTCCCTCTTGTTCTGTCGCTAATTACCTGTGAGAAAGGACCAGCACCAACCTCTCTACAATGACCTTTCAGGTAGTTGTAGAGACTGATGAGGTCTCCCCTCAGCCTCCTCTTTCTCAAACTAAACATTCCCAGCTCCTTCACTTCTCAGCTTCTTACCAGAGCCACCCCTGTGGCCCTTTCCCCGCTCCCAAAAATCCCACCAAACCAAACCAGCACAAGGGTTTATCCAGTCAGGGTCAGCTGTCCTGCCTGTGTTGGCTCCCAGCCCCCTGCCCACTCCCAGTCCCCTTCCTGCTCCCAGCCCACTTGCTGGCAAGGTAGTAGGAAAAGCAGAGAGGGCCTTGATGGGGTGTTAGCACTACTCACAACAGCTAACACTGTGATATCAACACTGTTTTGGTCACAAGTCAAAACACAGCACCGTATGAGCTGCTGTGAAGAAAATAAGTCTGTCCCAGCCAAAGCCAACACCACCATGTGTTAACAGGTAGAGGTTTGGTTCTCTCATTCCCCAGACACTTTTTAGACTGGGCAGTCAAACTTTGGGCGATCAAGCTTTGACAGTGGTGTTCAGCCTTTATCAGATCAACAGGGTAGACAGGGCCTGTGTTTTTGAGGAGGGATTTGGGGTGAATATTCCAAAAGAAAAGGACTGTGAATTTGTCACAGAGGAAGACTGTACATGTACCGCTCCAGAAGCGGGGTCAGCAATTGGAGCATCTCAGCTGTACCACAAAGATGAGCACTTAAAATCAAGTCCTGGCTGCAGTTCTTTGTTTCTAATATGGTGGAAAGTGTTTGAAAAATTAATACACACAGCCTGCCTCTAGCATGGGGACAGAGTTGAATTACTCAAATGCCTTGGATTACGTTGGTTGCTGTATGATCAGCTTAAATCAGAATGGTAAATGTTACCTTGTGTCTATAAGGAGGGAGAAAAAACACTTCTGTGTACTAAGGCTCTGTATGACAGAGGTCTCTGTGTTTTAATTATTGTGCTTTTAAATTATGTTGAGATCAGTACATACTAACTTACTTGTTGGGAAAGTTTTAGGTGGCCTCTCTAAGATGGGTCTAAAACATTTTCCTTTAGAAGAGAAGAGGGGTAATTGCAGGAAGAACAGTATTATGCATGTTGATAGACAAGTAAATTCTGTCTTTAGTATTGACCTCACAGCAGATGCAACTACTAGTAATGCAAGTGGCAATAGTGCAGACTCAAGGCAACAAGAAGATGACAGCAGCTTCTCACTGTTAACCTGGAACATTGATGGGCTGGATATAAGAAATCTAAAAGAACGAGCTAAAGGAGTCTGCTCTTACCTAACATTGTAAGTATAGCTTCATATTTGTCTTGTCATCTACCCAGCTTTAAAGGAAAAAGCAAGCTTCTTGGTTTAGATATTTAGAAATCTTCTTGCCCAAATTATCTTAACATTGGATGCAACAATACGATCGCTTTTCAATCCAAAATAGCTAAACGAAAGTTGATAAACTGGTTGGAAGAGGTGTGTACCTATGCAGATCCCAAAGGCTAAGCATTTTGTGATTGCTGCTTTAAAAAGCTTTATTACAATGAACAGTGTTGTTCAGTTGCTGTCATATATCAAAAGCATACTTCATGCTTCCATCCTGTACCTGAGAAAAGGCTAAAATAGCAAGAAACTTATTTGTCACATTCTCCATTATCTCCATGTCAGATACAGTCCAGATGTCGTGTTTTTTCAAGAGTTCATCCCACCCCATCTCCGTCTCCTGCAGGTGTTTGCAGGCATTTATGATATTATTCCAGGTAAGAAATTAACCCTCAGTCTCTCAAGACAGATACCAGAAAAAGTAACTTTGGTTTTACTTTCCCTTGCCAAAATCACTGACTGTTTGTAGGAATGAAAAGAGTAAAGTGAAGATTGAAGCACTTAAATTACTTTACTTGTCTTGATATTAGGATATAGTTTGGACACAAATTATGCATGTGAAAGGCTTGCTTGCCTGGTGGCTTGCATGTATTTTTTTTTTTCTGCATTTTGAAGACTGATAGCAAGGGTAGCCGATAAAGTGCCCTAGATAAGTAATTTCTTAAAGATTTGCATTTAAAAGAATCTGAAAAATTTTCAGCACTATTATGAAACTTTTAACTAACGACTTTTTACATCTTCCAAGTCAACATGATGCTCCCAAATCGTGGTTAAAAGGTCTCTTTCGGAACCTTAACTTCTTTATGTCATGGCAGAAGGTATATTCGACCATTTCTTTCCCTGTTCCACCTCAGGTAACACAGATGGCTATTTCACTGCCATAATGTTGAAGAAAACAAGAGTGAAGCTACTGAAATATGAGATAATACCTTTTCCAACAACCTCCATGATGAGGAACCTTTTGGTTGTGCATGTGAGTGAGTCATTATGTACTCTAAACCAGCTGTATTTTTGCCTTCAAACAAAAAAATGCCAGGAAGGGCTGAACAGGCTTTACTCTATGACAGTCTCAAACAGCAGAAAAACTCGTTTTCCAGCCATACAAGCCTAGTAGCATTTGGTACTAGCAAACTTAAATCTTTTCTGCAAGTTAATGGCTATACCTAGTTTTCAAGTCTCATAACCTCTGAAAACAAAATTAAAAGCCTGTTATCTTCATACAAGCCGCTTTTTTTCAATGTAAAACTAATATTAACCAGAGCTCTATCATTCAGTAGTTTACTTTGTGATTAGATTTTGTCTTTGAACTTCTTATCATGGTGCGGATAGTAACACTGCTTGTGTTTCATGCACAGGTGAGCATATCTGGTAATGCAGTCTGCCTTATGACCTCTCATCTGGAGAGCACTAAAAATCACTCTAAGGAGCGTATGAAGCAACTGCGAATGGTCTTCAACAGAATGCAGAAGGAGTCTGAGTCCACCACTGTTATATTTGGAGGGGATACAAACCTGAGAGACAGTGAGGTAGATAGAAATAAGCAACCTGTTACTTTGAGAAGATATTCCAACAAAATCTTCTCATGCTTTTCTGTTGTCCTTATGAGAAATTACCCGCTTAGGCATGAAAAGATATGCAGCAGTTAGTCTTAAAAAGTGGAAGCATGAGTAAGTAGAAGCTGTGGCATTGCTGTGCTGAGGCGTTGCTATAGTTGAGGTGATGTGTATGAAGAGCCACCCCCCAAATGCTTTATTGCCAGTATTTTTAATTGAGAAGATGCAGGGATATTCAACGAAGTTTTGACTCAAAATGCACCTTCTCATGTTGAGAACCTGGTCTTTATGTGCTTAACTCTCTGATTCTCAGAGAATTAATGCTTGAAGAATCAATGGAAGAAGAGGGTGCTCTGTAGAAATACATCTTGGGAGTTTAAAATTAATTCCCCATCACACAGACATTCCAAATTAGAAGTTATTTTTGGCTGTTGGTACTAAAAGTGAAAATTGTGCATTATTACTTAAAGGTCAGTATTTCGTCTTTCCCTGTTGTGAAGTTTCATTGCAGTGAACTGGAGTGACATTCTCTTAGAGATCACTGTGTCGACTGCCATACCTCAAAACTTTCACAGCTGAATGTTTATTTTGTAACACGTTTCTGATTCAGAAAGTACTACTTGGTCATGCTTTCAAGTATCCTGAGAAATACCACAATTAAGAAACATCTGCTGTATCTTTGTTTTTAGCAACCCGCGTTTTGCAGAAAAAAGAGTGATACTGTGACAACTCAGTTCTGGCTTTTGACAGTAAAAATTGTGAATTCAGCATCTTACGGGTTTTTTCCCACTTCTACTTTCAGGTTGCTAAACTAGGGAACTTACCTAACAACATCACGGATATCTGGGAGTTTTTGGGTAAACCTCAGCACTGCCGCTACACTTGGGACACCCACTCCAATACTAACATGGATGCAGGGTACAAGTGCAAGATGAGGTTTGACCGCGTTTACTTCCGGCCTGCAGCAGGCGAGGGACATATTATTCCACGGACGATGGACTTAATTGGATTGGAAAAACTAGACTGTGGCAGATTCCCTAGTGATCACTGGGGTCTTCTGTGTAACTTTGATGTGATATTATAAAAAAGAAAAAGAGGCTTGCATTGTTAGTTTTTAGGTGATCTGTTCTTTTAAAAAAATTTTACCCTCTCACTACAAGAAGGACATATTTAAATTTTCAACTCTTAATGCGTTCCCTGCTCTTGACTTAGGCTGGAAGAGCTTCATTTCAAGCCATGGTACCCTCTTCCTTATTGTATGCATCTGTTCTGGAATCATGTTTTAAAATACTTATTTTTAACAAAGTATGCAAATACAAACCTAAAATATAGTTTTAAAACAGGAAGAAAAACATGTAAATACAATTCATAAACATGCTCAATGGCTTAAAATACACTTTTATTTTGGTATGTATTATAATCTCGTAATAAAAGCTGCTTTTTAATTTTAAGAATGCTTTTATTATACGTGCTTTGTTTCTTTTGCAATAATTTCCGCCATCCTTTGCAACTCTGTCTTTTGTAGGGTGATTTGTATTAGCTTCTGGAATTTGTGCTGTACCTATGTATGCCTTTAAGCAAGGCAGTATAGGAGCTGAGGAAAGAACTAGATTCTCACAGAATAAAGTTTTTTTAAACAAGAACTAAACTAATATTGTACAGGTTTAAGAATGATATGCCTTCTGTTCAACAAGAAGAGGACACGGGCAGATGCATGGAAGTTTTTCTCTTGGGATGAAGTATACCTTAATTTATGTTTATTAATCTAATTGCAGTTTCAAACGTGTTGTCTTTCCAGTGAGCTTCTAGAAACATGCTATTATAAACTGCTGTGCAAAGCCTGAGCAGCTTAAGGTCTTCCTGACTTTGCAAAAGTTCAAACAGGCCTTCTTACTCAAAAGAACTGTGTAATCAATCTCGTAGAAACTTTGCACACCTGTAAAACAGAAGCACTAAGCTGATTGCAACTGGAATCCTAACCTTCTGAAGTTCAATGCATGGGCATGGAGAGAAATCATAAACAACCCCATATTGATGTAAAGTGAATACAGAGACTGACAGCTTCAGTTCCTTTATTTTTGTTGTTGTTGTTGTTTGCTTTAGTCTTTAAGCCCGAAACTTAGAAACAACTTGTGTTTTGATGGACTCCTGGGGTGGGTTGGCCCTGTCTGATAGCCAAGCACCCACCCAGCCACTCGCTAAGTCCTGCCTTCCCCAGTGAAACAGGAGGAGGAAATAGGGAAAAACAGAAACAAGAAAGCTCTTAGGTTGAGATAAAGACAGCTTATCACTTACCATTACTCTCATGGGCAAAACAGACTTTATTTGGGGAAATTAGTTTATAGGCAATTCATATAGATACTTAATTACTGATTCAGGTATTGGGAAGCAATACACTTTTTCTCTCCCCTTTCCCTGGCTCAATGTCACTCCAGGCTCCTCTCATGTTTGTTATTGCCTCAGGTCATTCTCTGTCCCTTCAGCAAGATCAGAAGTGGCAGAAGGGGATTATGGTTGGCACACGTTTCTCATGGCCATGCCTTTCCTCTTCCTGCTTCTCCTGTGCTCAGGGTGGATCCTCCATGGGCTCAACCAGGATGTGCCATGGAGCACCTCCTCCTTGACCTTGGTGTTTGCTCTGTTGTTGCTCAACTCTTCTTTTTTCTTTCCTTTTCTGCCCAGCATTTTCTCCCCTTTCTCACACACTTTCCCAGAGGTGCCACCATCTTATCTGCAAGGGTCAGCTATGCCCTGCAGTGGGTTGGCTGGAGCCAGTTGGAACTGGCTGTGTCTGACATAGGGCAGCCCCCTTCTGCCCCACAGCCCCAGCTACCAGCACTTGGGCGTCTGCACCCACTGCAACTTAAAAAAAAACAGAAAAGCATCTTCTCACATGGGGAAAACAG